TGTGTGTGTGTGTGTGTGTGTGTGTGTGTGTGTGTGTGTGTGTGTGTTGTACTTGACTCAGGACAGAGTAAGGAGACAAGGAAGAAGCTGACATCTTCTAGCATTTGAGGGAGCAAGGAAGATCAGGAATCTAGGGAATAAAGCTCTCTCTGAGGCACCCTTCAGGAGTTCAGTTTAGGGAGTTGTTTGCACCCAGACATGACCTAGCAAAGGAAGAGGAGGCCAATGCTGGGTGCCACTGGCTAGGAAAGCACCTCTGGCAGAGAAGATGTGAGGTGGTCTTAGTCTCCACTCCACACACACACACACACACACACACACACACACACACACACACTGAAGTCCCCAACAGAAGATGTGAGGTGGTCTTAGTCTCCACTACACACACACACACACACACACACACACACACACACACACAGACACACACACTGAAGTCCCCAACAGAAGATGTGAAGTGGTCTTAGTCTCCACTCCACACAGGTACACACACACTGAAGTCCCCAGCATCCAGCCAGGCCCATTCTGTCTTGTCTTGTTGTTATCAGAATCTGCCGGCTGGGCCTCAGTCTTTGCACAGAGGTGTGAGTAGCCTGTGAATCATCACTTTGGGATCCTCTATTGTTTTCGGGTCAGTCCTTCTCCATTCTCCTTTCCCCTCCAGGCAGACTGCAGTGGGGGCAGGGTGGGGGCCGGCTTCTGCTGGTGACACAGTGGTCCAAGCTTAGCACCTATGTGCTGCTGAAAGGTTGGAAACAGTCTTGCCCTCAGCTGGTCGAGAAGATGTCACACTCCACTCAGAAGCTGCCTAGATCTCAATCCAAAGACATTCTCTTTTCTTTAGCTTTTCAGGTCTCTTTTCTTTAGCTCCCTGGTTGGAGAGAGAGGGAATTTTTTTTCTCCAGCAGTGAATAGTCTCTGGACTGATCTGGTCTTGGAGTTCTTGCTTAATCTCTGGGAAAGACCATTCTGAGGCCCCTGCTCCCACAAGAGGTCAGTGCAGTTCCTGTAGGATGGGTGGCAGCTGGGCTCCTTAGCGCCAGAGGTGCCAACAGCAGTGGAGTACCTCGCCAGATGGAAGTAGTGTGTGGAGGCTCTGCTTTCTGCTACCCTCTGTGACAGGCTCTGCTTTAAACACTTTGTAACTGCTGTTTCCTTGGTTCTGAGATGTGGTGACTGTTGTAGCGAGAGTAACCGAGGCTCAGAGAACCACAGTGGCTTGTCCAAGGTCACATGGAGTAAGCATAGTGCCAGGACTGGAATTCAAGTCTTCTGAGGAATCCAAGCTTCTGAGGAGCTTGGAGAGGATCATCACTTTCCTGGTAATTGCTCATGGAATATCTGAGCTCCCATCTATCATGCTTGGGCTGGCAGGCCTGGCCCAGGTGCCCCATTATGAATCTGTAGCGAGATTTGTGTGCACACATGGCTGGCAATTTGCAAGTGGGTGCTTTACAACAGTCTTCCCGTAGCCCCTCCCCCTTGTGAGCCAGAGATCACCAGAAAGACCTGGCTACTGCCTTTAAGAGCCTACGGCTGGCCTTGGAAACATCTAACCTGGCTCTGGAGATCTGGAGTTAGCAGCACAGCCCAGGGGTGGCAAGGATAGTGACCTTCATCATGTTTGAGCAGTCCCCATCCCCCTATCGTTGACTCTCCCATTTACTGTGGTGGGGAGCAGATGGAGTGGCCTTGTGCTTGTACCCTGCCCAGTCTGGGTCTCTGTCTCCCCTTCTCCCCATTCTGATCATTGCCGATGTCTGGCCTAGAGCTGGGGCTAGGGATCATGGTATTCCTCAGTCCTCCCTGGAGTGACTGGAGCTGTGCTTTTGGGGCTGATGAAAATAGCTGTCTTGGTCTCCAGGGGCTGAGCCCAAGTTATTTCCATCCCCAGCATAGAGGTAGAAATAGCTCAGGGCCAGGAGAGGGAGAGAGGGAAGAAGGGTTAAGTAAGGGTTAACCTTCCCTTCTGGCCCAGCCTCTATGGAGCCCCCCAGCTCTACTCCATGCCCTGCCTAAGCCAGACCATTCTGGGAACATGTGCCTCTGGGGATGACAGTGGGGCCAAGCAGGGTTTCTGTTTGGTGTGGTAGTTACTAGAGGGAGGTGCCTGTGTCTGCCATTGGTAGGAAACATAGAGGGGCCCAATTTACAGACCCAGGAGTCAGAGCCAGCAGCCTCAGCCCGCTTTACACAGGGAGAGACCGAGGTTCCAAGGATGGCAGGGCACACCCAGCCCCTAGGTTTGCAACTGTAGCTCTCCTCTCCACTTTCCATCCTGCCACTCGATCCTTGGACACTTGGGCAGCAGGTTCTATCACAGCTTTGCAAACTTCTGTTCGAGCTTTGGCTCTCTCTGCGTGCAGGCTTTATTTATTTGTCTGTTTGTTTGTTTGTTTATTTATTTTAGTTTTGCTTTTCAGTACTGTGGATCAAACCCAGAGCCTTGCACATGCTAAGCTGGTGCCACTAGGAAGGTAGGGACAGAAGTCGGTGTTGCAACCCTGCTGTATGCTCAACCTAACCTCTCTAGAGGACAGGGACAGCTTTGTCCCTGTCCTCTAGAGAGGTCCCAGTCCTTGTTGACATAGCCAGGGAAACTAGGAATCAGATGACCCTTTTTAGACCCTGAGATGCTGGGATCCAAACCCAGGTCTGTGGCCTTGAAGTTCAGACTTCTTTCCTGGGCCACCCTGGGAAAGACGAGCACTCTATAAATAAACCACCCTGTGTGCCTGGTTGTTTAGCACAGATGGAGGGGGATGGAGGGGCCTCTGTGGCCAATTAGAGGCAGGGTCCAAGCCTGTGTTTGAGAGAAGGAACTAACCTGGCCCTGTGTATACTCGTGGTGGGAAAGAACCGGGAGCCAATGCGCCCTGCATTCTGCCTCCTTTCTACTCCCTCAGGCAGCCTCCTGACTACTGACAAGGGTCAAAGGAGATGGAGAAGTGATGGCTCAGTGGGTCCCCTGATAGGAAAGCTTCCTGAAGGCTGGGCTCAGGCCTGCTTGTAGAGTTGCTGTCAGCCTGTGTATTCGGGATCGTCCCCACACTGTGAGGTCATCTGAGCAGACCCAGTTAGCCCAGGTTCTGGGCAGGTGGGGCCACATGCGGACTGCTGGATTTGTCCCTGTGCAGCCCTCTTCTCTCCTCACCCTGTGGCCTCAGCTGGTGCGGAGGCAGGCACACACGCCACGTCGGCACTCTCTCATGCTGCTGCTGCGACTTACTTGGGGTTCCTCACAGTGTGCTTTCGGCCCCCAAGCACCTGGGTGGCCTTGACTGGACATCGCTTGTTTGGAGCCTGAGTTCCTCCGATGACCCCCTGTGAGGTTGTGGTGTGAGAACCGGTGCTTCTTGGCCAGCATGGCTTAGATGTGATTCCAAATATCCCTTCCATGGCCTTTGAAGCTATGGAAGCCCCGAAGCTCAAGAGAGGTTAAGTGACCTGGACAAGGTCACAGATACACAGTGAGAGAGCCAGACCTTCAGCCCAGGTGGATTGTTCCAGAGCCTAGCCTTGCCCCTACTGGCCCTTTGGTCACACATATGCCCAGGCCTCAGCACGGTTCCTCTAGGAAGGGCCTCATTCCCCAGCACCCAAGCCTGAGGAACTGGAGAGTGAGCAGGGGTCCTGTGGTTTCTTCTCAGTTGCTCCCCAAATTTCTGCTCCAGTCAACCAAGTTGGGATGATGGGGTCAGGGCTTATGCTGAGCAGTTTCTAGACCATCCCGGCTTATTACCAATTCAATGCAAAGTGGAGGTGTGTGGCCAGGGCCATAGCCAAGCTGACTTCTGGGAGCGGGAGGTAGCAGCAAGAATGAGGGACGAAATGGGTGTTTTCCCCCTGGGCCCTTGTTGTCCTGTCTTGGGGCCAGAGGAGGCAGTCCATGGTTCTTAAAGGTTGGTGTGGGCTAACGCAGGCCCTTGAAAGCATTGGGGCATCAGGTGTGGGTGACACTGGCAAGAGCTGACTATTGATTGTTACCTCTCCAGTGGTGGTCAGCCTTGTTACCTTTCAGACTAGTTTCTTTTTAAACAATCATTAGTACATTTCTTTATTTTGCATTGATGTGGTGGTGTGGAAGTCAGGACAACCTGCGGGGATCAGTTCTTCCCTTCCACCATGTGGGCTCGGGGGACTGAACCCAGGTCATTTGGTGTTGGTGCAAGTACCTTGACCCACTGAGTTGTCCTGCCAGCCGTAGACCGGGTTCTTACAGGTTACTCAGCCAGCTCAGCCTCCTTTCCACAAGTCTGAATCATGGAAGCTTGTGTGGAGAGTCCAGCAGGGCTCAGCCTGGAGAGGCAATGGGACTTGTGTGAGGGGCCACTGGAGAGCTTCAGCT